AGCTACGCGGCCGATGTTCGTTTCTGGGCATATCGCGGAGACACGCGCCACGCCCCCGTTTCACATCTATTCCCTTCTATGATCTGAGGATGCAGGCCATTGCCAACCAGTCATTATGGAAGTCATTGGGGGAGGCCTATGTTCAGCAGTGGACGTCCTATGGCTCGTAAGAGTAATCTGGAGTATTCCTTCCTACCTCTCGTACCTACTATTGCAACTCTACCCAGGATCTAAAGTTTGATGTTCAATGAAAATCCAACTAGGAAAAGTCAAGTGCATCCATAAAAAAATAGAATAGAACAAACTTTATGGATCACAAACTATGTATTTTTACAAGATAATAAATAAAAACAGAACAATACAAATTTTGTTTCAAAAGCTGATTTTCAGTAATAAATTAACATAATATTATAAGAAAACTTCTCGCAAAACATTATTTACTTTTCAGAAAGTATCAGAGGTTGCAAACACCGACAGCGAAAAGGAATCAGCGCAAGCCTCACAAGAGAGTGCACCTGGTATGTATTAAAAATATTTAAATACAGTATCAATTTTGAATAAATTTTTGAAATACTTATGATATTTACTTAATTTTAGCCTCTCCAGCCGAGAAACCTCGGCCAAAGCGGACGAGAAGAGGGCAGAAAGCAGCGTAAGTTTTTGTCTTTGTCTTCCATAGTGTAAATTACTATTTTCTGCCTCACAAACTAGTTAAAGAAATAGTTTTTAAAGGATTTCTTTTAAGTTTTCAGGAGGTACAGATATCAAGTTACTATTAATGCGTTTTCTCCATTGAAATAAAATATTTCTCACAATATTAATAAGATCTGAATCAGCTCAATCGTTTTCAACACTAATAATAACTTATTACATTACAAATATTACAATCAAATATTTATTAATGTATTTTAGGACTCTACTTGCCCTAGATGAGGAAATGTAGGAAATAGTATTTAGATCGTCCGAATTAATAATCTGTTATTCTGCCAACAGAGAGAAAGAAACCGCCAAACCTGAAGAAACCCCCAAACCTGAAGAAACCCAGCCCGAACCGGTAATATCACCGAAAGAAGAGAGAATATCGCAACCAGAATCAAACTCCCCCATACTGCAGCCGATCAAATCCAAAATACCGACCAAAGAGACCAAATCTCGAAAGAAAAACAAAGAAGATGCAAAAAAGAACACAGAAATTGAAGATACGGTGCAAACCATAGATGAGACTGATACGCAAAGTGTTCTGGAACAAACTAGAATAATTACCATGAATTCTACGGTTACAATTATGGATAAGACGGTTGATTTGCCGAATGGAGTTTATAATCATGATCCGGGGACACCTAATAATGTTGTGAGTTTATCATTTACTATCTTTTGACCTTTCTTACAAATTATGGATTCCTAAAAACACTTCATTAAAAAAACTTCTTTGTTATGAATTATGATACACCGCCTAAGAGCGCTTTCACATTTAGTCGATTTAGCAGCGCAACAAACGCGCTGACGATAATTTCATACTATGTGACAGCGGATGCATGCCTTCACATTATAAAAACGCCGCAGCCGCGCTGCTGTCGCGTTACTAACGCCCTAATGTGAAAGCGCTCAAAATAGTATAAGGGATTTGTTGAAATACAATAGTACTTTGATTTAATTAATTTGATAATTTTAAAACGAATTTGCATACCCAACTATAAAGGGTAAATCAAATTAAACAGTGGGTCACACATAAATGATCAGATTATGAGGTATGGAAGCGGTACGGGAGAAGTAACAAAAGGGTCAAAAGTGGCACCAAATGGTTTGTGTAATATTACACTCGACGCTGGCCAGTTCCTTTGCTTGAACTAATGACGTAACATTTGACGTCACAAAAACGTTCTTGTGCTGCTCCCCTATTTCAGTTAAGCGCCAGCTAGACCTATAAAAGTACGCACATTTTTCCTTGCACTTTATATCTCAATTTGATTAAATAATTCATTGTATCTATTCTGTTTTTGTCGCAGCGTCACATGAACGAGACGGTGGTATTAGAAACTTGTAGCAGGGAGACTATAGTTCTGGAGAAACCTCATGCTATCATGGATGCTACCGTCGTTATTGACAAAGGTATGTTGTTGGAATATTTATTTTTTGACTTGTTTACTCATAATTTTTGTATTCGTGTAGTGTCGACAGAGTAGAATAGGACCACAGCCCCATTCTTTCCATGGATGTCGTAAGAGACTATTATCAGGCGGTAGTCGATATCTTTTGGAGGATGCGCACTCAGTTTATACACTCGCGAGCAAAAATATGGAATCACCCTATTTATTCCGAGCGATCATAAGAACTAAATGACTAATAGAGGATCAATAAAAATGGTACCATTTTAAAGGAGATATTATAAACTTAAAATTGATACCATAGATACATACAATACATAGTCATTCAGTTCTTAAGACCGCTCGGAATACAAAGGGGTGATTCCATACTTTTGCTCGTAAGTATATTTGTAAACAATAATTTAGCAAAAGTTTACAATAGGTACAATTAATTTAATTAATTTTAAGTATTTTAAAAGTGTTCGTCGTTTCATCTCTTTGCTACGTATCTTGACTTTCGTACGTCTTTAGTGGAAGAGCAACCTAAGAGCGGTTTTGCACTGCATCTAATCCGTGATCCGAATCCGTGAAAATATGTTCCGGAATAGTCGTAATAAAACATTTGTATAGTTGTGTTTATACACTAGATCCGATTTCCCTCGATCTCTTTAGTAATTATTTAGAGCGAGAGTGAATAGGCACTTACAGGGCAGATATGCACCATCCCAGACTGCATTCCACTGACCACCAGGCCAGTCAAATACCTGCCATGTTATGCATAAAAAAAAGATTCTCATTTGCATGTGGCGTAGTGCAAAACCGCTCTAAACGTATGTAAATTTTTTGATAAGTACTTCTTATAAAAGTTGTTGTGTCGTATCAGATCCGAAGCATCCGAATGTGCCGGAAGACAACTCGCTGCTAACAGACGACGAAGACGCGCCAAGCCCGCGCACGCCGCCCAAGCAGCAGCCGCCCAAGCCGCAGCCCACGTGAGTATACAAGATTATATTGTAGGAACTTGTCTCATCGACGATGAGAAGCTGAGCGTCACTGTTCATAGTGGCGTAGATGTATGCGTCTAAAGTCCGGTCACCGAGCAGATAGAATTTCGTCCAATGACCCCAAGCTATCTAACCTGCTCCTGCTGGCGCGTAATTATATTGCTGTCGCGCTCGCACACTCACTGCGGCCGCTCGTCGCACGCATAATAGTGTATTACAACTAAATGGGATATCACAGTCTTTAGCTCGCTGTGCACTTGTCTGTGCAATAAAAGAAATGCAAACCAGCGAAAACTCTCCCTTGGCGTGTCACAGCAATAATCGCTATAAAATTATTCAACTGTCATTACTCTACGGCTTAGTTTCGCACATTCTCTTATAATATTCCAGCTACAAAACTATCAAAACATCTTTTACTTGACAACTTTAAATGTTTTACAGATCGGCTGTAAAAGAAAAGGTGCAACAGTTCGAAGAATTAGCGTCACGGGTCACGAGAACTAAGACGCGAGCCATGGCCAAAAAGGTAAACACTTTGTAATTCTTACATACAAACACTTAATAGTCTGCTAATACTTGTTCTAAATAAAATGAAAATCAAAATACAGCTTAAATGGTTGGTCACTTATTACGAGTTACAATAATAACATTATACACTTGACGGTATTTATTTATTTAATTAAAATGCAAGTGAGCTTACAGATTTATATCCAAAGCGCTCACATTGCCAATTTGAAATATAATTTGGTATATCAAGCATTTAGGCCTATGTTCCAAAACCACTCGCTAAACTCGATTTAATCTATGTCGTTGATTCTTTCGTTGTGAGAGTTCTAAAATTGAACCCGATTTTAGAGAATGGGCGCACGAATGATTTTTGTCGCCGTGACCAATGAGGGCTATCGTTTTAGCGCTCACCAGTTAGCGCCACTGTAGAGTAAGGTCCTGTCACTTGCTAGTAGCGAAGACAGTGGCACCAACTGGTGAGCGCTAAAGTGGTAGGAGGACTTTCGCATTTGACCTCATCAAGATGGCGCCACTGTAGAGTAAGGTCCTGTCACTTGCTAGTAGCGAAGACAGTGGCACCAACTGGTGAGCGCTAAAGTGGTAGGAGGACTATCGCATTTGCACTCATCAAGATGGCGCCACTGTAGAGTAAGGTCCTGTCACTTGCTAGTAGCGAAGACAGTGGCACCAACTGGTGAGCGCTAAAGTGGTAGGAGGACTATCGCATTTGCACTCATCAAGATGGCGCCACTGTAGAGTAAGGTCCTGTCACTTGCTAGTAGCGAAGACAGTGGCACCAACTGGTGAGCGCTAAAGTGGTAGGAGGACTATCGCATTTGCACTCATCAAGATGGCGCCACTGTAGAGTAAGGTCCTGTCACTTGCTAGTAGCGAAGACAGTGGCACCAACTGGTGAGCGCTAAAGTGGTAGGAGGACTATCGCATTTGCACTCATCAAGATGGCGCCACTGTAGAGTAAGGTCCTGTCACTTGCTAGTAGCGAAGACAGTGGCACCAACTGGTGAGCGCTAAAGTGGTAGGACTATCGCATTTGCACTCATCAAGATGGCGCCACTGTAGAGTAAGGTCCTGTCAATCGCCAGGGGTGCCCACTGTTAAGTATAAAAACGATAGCCCTGATTCCATGGAAGTGACAAACAAGTTTCTGTCACTGTCGCGTTGCTACGTGCTCGCACCTCCATACATCTCCATGAGCTTTGTATGAGTGACGAAACATTCAAATCAAATCAAATTCGTTTATTTGTTTATTCACGGTGACAATAGTGAATAGTCACACCTGCGCGCACTCCCAAACCAATCAAAAATCTCAATCTACTTTTGAAATTAATTGCAAACCCTGACACCTTGACATTTGACATTTTTACAGGAAGAGGACAAGCCAGAAGATTCCCACACGCCACCAGACAAGATCATGAAAGCGGTTCTGTCCGCAGACACCCTCAACAAAATGAACAGCATGATATTCAACGGAAAACCCGCGCAACAGGTAAGTTGGGGAATTCACATTACGTTCTGACGTATTGTCGTGATGTGTCAGAACGGAACCGATTTCATACTCTATGCAACTCGTAAAGCCAGGTTCAGACGGGTGTCATGTGTAATGTAAGATTACGTGTAATGTAATGCAGCTTACTATTTTATTTATTTTATTTTTACCAATGGTCTGTGACCCTCACTCGGCATGGGGCACACTGAAAACCAGCGCCGTGGCCTTCGTCACCGTGGGCCACGGCATATGCTGAGTGGGGCCCGTTGCAGTGGGCATCTTGTTGGTGGATGGGTGGTGGTACTGCTCAGTTTACTCTTGTTTTTATTTTTTCCTTTATTATATTCCACTATCACGTCTATGTAATTGCCTGTATTTGTGTGATGTCCATTGTAATAAATGTATCTTTCTTTCTTTCTTCTTTCTTAATGGAAATAGTATGGATAGCACTTTACATGTAATGCTCGTATTGCCGTCAACACGTAGAATTCGTATTACATTACACGTAATCTTACACATTACACCCGACTTCAGAGGCTACTACACTTTAGTATATGAAACCGATTCCGTTCTGATGCGTCCTTAAAGTTAATATACCTAGAGAAATAGAGCAACAAAGAACTGAGCGTGCGAGATGTCACTAGCAGCAACACTGATAAAAGAGATGCGTGATGCCGTCGCCTTCACGTCAAACTGACCCACTTTTTGCAGCTATTACAGTTCAGAGGTACTTAGTGGCAGTGGCGGCTGGTGGGTTATCAAACTGGTGGTGCACTTTAATAAAATATTAAATTAACAAAACATAATCATTAAGGCGATTAGAGTCCTCAATGACCTTGAGCGTTTGACCTTCACGCTTCGCACAACACCCGCGCACCCCGCACGAAAACTCCGCTCTGACATCGATCAAAAATACACGGGCATAGGTAGGTACAGAATAGAAGCTCTTTCTTCATACATTACTGCCTATTATTTTAAATTTGAATTGATGAACCTTGATGTCGATGTCATTCAACCCAGGCGCAAGTGATCGCCCGAAATGTTCTAAACTAGCGCACCGTATAGTAAGGTATTTATATTTAACAAAAATTACAAATCCATGAACATTTTGTGTAGGATAATATTTTTTACTTTATTTTATTTAGCTTACAATGTATGTTGTGTGTAAACTATGTTTGTTCGGGTGGAATTTTGCAAGCTGAATTAGTTACGGCCGACTACTGAAACACTACTCAAATCTTTCACTCAGCTGACGAGCTCCTAAATTTAAGTATCCTTCAATTTTAAATGGTATTCTCAAACGCTACTCAACGGATTTAAAGCCGTGATCAGCTAAGCAGCTCTTTTTTTATTTTTTTTTATTTACACAAATGATGACTTTACGTTTTTTATACATTACACGCAGCATCATTTGGTTATGTATTGTCTTTTATGGTAATATACTCAATCAACTTAACATAGAACAGTTTATTTTTAGTTTGTATTATATATAAATCTCGTTTTATAAATTAATTTTATAAAAAATTAACGCTTGCATTTTTTTATTTAATTAAAAAAAAAATTTAAAGGTGATACTTTTTATTGTTGAAATCTATTAAGTGGCGATCGTGGACCGAAACGTAACCACAATTGACATTTATCATTGTTGACAGAGCATCAAATTGACAAATCAACAACTCTTCGAAATGCTGCTATAGATGACCCACGCTGAACTGTCCCACCAAACTCAATGACAGGGGGGCGCTACCATCGTTAAACTAAATGGTTTCCAACATGGCAAAAATCGGAACCAGCGATCCGGTATTGACGGTGGCGCCTCAGTGTCAATGTCATTGATAGGACAGTTCAGTATTTTGGAACTATATAGCTTAAACCCATTTGCGATGTCCCCATATTCCTCAGAAATAGGCCTGTTTATGTAAAGCTATTTCATAGCAGCTTTGTTACTTTGTGCACTATACGATGCACAGTTGGCTGTTCGATGTGGAAGAATCACCTAGTACACGTTCATAACTTCCCGTTACGTAGAACCGTAGGGTTATAATAAGTATTTGGTCCACTTGTTGTATGGCGTTTGGTGAGGTGTTTCAAAGAGCTTCCAAATTATGAATCCAGAAACAGACGCGGAACCTGGCTCGGAAATACATGTCATTATAATAATATTTTTCAATAGCGTTCAGCCTTATTGCGTTCCGTTGTCGACTTTCAGTAGCAACAACAGGGTCAACAACAACAAAAGCATGAAATAAATTAATTTTCACTAAAAATTAAAACCAACTCCTAAACAAATTACCAAACCGTAGGCTGCCAGTGCTGCCACCGACTCCGAAAATATCAATCATGGTATAAATTTGACCTAGTAAATAAATAACGGAATATATTTTCTACTTTTACTTATCTAGTGCAGTTTGTTTTGGAGTCGATTTTTTTACACTAATAGATTCTATTTAGGTAGATAATAGCGTCCAAGCATGGCTTAATTCAATCGTATCGTCTGACTGAACGTACTCTATGAACAACTCTGACATAAAATATATTGTCATACAACGGCTGGGTTGCACCATCTTATTTTAAATTTGACAAAAGTCAAAATCTGTCAAACTCCATACAAAAAAACACCGGTTATCGCCAAAGCTACGGTCAAAGTTAGGTCACGTCAGGTGGTGCAACTCAGCCAAAGAAAAAATTCATTTTGATCGCTAATGTCAGTTTGCAGCGAGTGACACAACCTCCCCGTCTGAAGGCCAGCGGCCGACTGCCGCCCGCACCCCGCGAAGGCCCCCTCAACAGCAAAACGTTCGGAATTTATCAAAAGTAAAATTTATGAATGAAAGTAATGTTCGATAGAAAAACGCAACGTGTCATTTAAAGATTAAAGAATTCTTAATCTATTCGTGTAAAAATCTTTAAAATTAACATAGCCGTTTGGGAGGAGTAGGGAATTGAAGTAAAAAATCGATGTCCCGTATTTATTTTTTTAATCCACAACAAATAGACATAGGAAAAATTCAAACGTGTCAAATGTAGTCTTTGAACTGTTGTATAACATATATTTTTTTCAACTATTTCTGTCCAGCAGTAAAAGAGGAGTAGGCTTTACAAAATGACCATTTCACGCGGATTGAGGACACTAATCGCCTTAATGATGAAATTAATCATGGCTGCCGTGTTCCTTTTCTCGGTAATTTCTATGAACTATCTTTTGTCTCACGCGCCAGGCGTATTAGCTCGCATCATATACAAGTTATATGAGCCGTCCGCGTGCGCTCGCCGAAGCGCACGAGAATTTGTCTTTACAGAAAAATAAGTCTTATTAGTTTAGTAAAAGCGCTCAAATTGTTTCACCATAATTGGAAATATAACTTTTTATACGATTTGTATATTTATTAAATGGTAATTTTAAAATATAGATGAGGTAATGTTTGATATTTTTTAAATATTTTTTCGGTGGTTCAGCGCACGAGCGCAAAAAAATCAAAATCAAAAATATTTATTCAGTTTAGACCACAAGTGGAAGTGCCATCAAAATGTAATGTGTAATGAACGTCAAAATATTATTGAAGAAAATAATAAAAAAAGAAAAGGTAGCCCTTATTGTACAGCCGCCACTGCTTAGTGGTACGCTGTAAATTTCATCGGCCATCAGCTTTGCGTCCCATGTGCCCCGCCCACTGCCACTTGATTTTAGCAATTTTGCGCGCTCGTCACTGGTCCTCTGCGTAATAATATAGATGACCCACGCTGAACTGTCCCACCAAACTCAATGACAGGGGGGCGCTACCATCGTTCAACTATGTGGTTTCCAACATGGCAAAAATCGGAACCAGCGATCCGGTATTGACGGTGGCGCCCCACTGTCAATGTCATGCGTAGGACAGCTCAGTATTTTGGAACTATATCATCATTATTATTTCCCCAGATATCAAGTTCAGCGTCCAAACCGCGTGCCAACGTGGTAAGCAGCGTGAAATCCTTCATCCCCGCCTCCACTTCCAAACTGAGCTCTGTGAGCAAGCACAAGGAAGCGGCTGAAGAAAGCTTGAAAAGGGAGAAAGAAGACGCCAGGAAGAAAAAGGAGGCTATGCTGGAGGCGAAACGGGAACAGCAGAAGAAGTAAGTTTATTTACTGCCAATAGGGATGTTTCCTGGGTAAAAAGCAAGAGTTAATTAGTCCGTCAGTTAGCCTATCAAAAACTACTCGACACATATTTTTCACTTTTTAAAACTAATTAAAATGTAAAGAGATAAAGCGTGCCAAAGTTTTAAAGAAAAGGCCCGTGACGTCAGTGAGTGCGTAAAAGTGCAGCACTTTGTGACGTCGCGCGGAACTTCAACGCACTATAACTTTGTAATTATTTGTTTGATTGACAATTCAAAATATACGTGTCCAATATTTTTTTGTATTAAAATTGACGAACTAAAAAAACTTTTTTAGGATACTAGCCTATTCCTTTATCTCCTTAACAAAGTTTCGAAATGTTGTCGAATTTCGCTCAGAATAAAGATATTAAGAAGAGGGAGCAACCTTTTATGTGAAAGCAGGTATTTGACCGCAATCGCGCCTGGTGTTAAGTGGGATAACCGCCTAACATAGGCTACATTTTATTTTGGAAAAAAATATGTAGTCCACGCGGGCAGAAAGCTAGTCTCTTAATAAAATCAGTCTTATATTAGTTTTCACCATCAATCCCTAATTTTTAAGTGACCCCTATTATGAAAAAAAAATCCTGTTATGAGTTACCATAGGGGTCACTAAAAACCTAAGTAATATTAATGGTTGTTACTATTTCCAGAATGATTATAGGATAAAAGGACACACATTCCAAACTCAACCTTTTTTCCATTTCCTCAGAAAACGCGAAGAGAAAATGGCCGCCGCGGCCGCTGTACGTGAAGCCGCGGAAAGGGAACGCCGCGCTGCCATGGAGGCAGCGGCAAGAGAACGCATGGAGAAGCAAGCACATGTCGATCAAGGCAAGCTGGAACGGTTGAAGGAAACAGAAAGGGTAAGAAGCTTAAATTCTATTTTATTCCTTCCCATTGACTTATTTACTAGCAGTCCAGTAGCAGACGGAGGCAACGGCAACAGGGCGTTATAACAAACTGGAGCGCTTGAAGGAAACTGAGATTAAGTGGACTCTTTCTATTCCCCCATATTTAGTCAAAAAAGTAATATAAGTTTATGTTGATCAGGGCAAATTGGAGCCGTTGAAGGAAACAGAAAGGGTAAGTAACGGGACTATTCCCACCTCTCGTTCCCACCGCTGCAACTCCTGTGTAGCCAGGATCTACAGCTTGACCGCCAATGAAAACCCAACCAGTGAAGGTCAAGTTTGTCCCGGGGGAAAGTTAAAGCCTGGTCCGTGAGCACGTAGAATTTTGTCCAATGACCCCAAGCTACCCATCCTTATCGCTCGCGCGTAATTATGTTGATGTCGCGCTCGCACACTCACTGCGGGCGCGCGTCGCACAGTCGCGACAGCAATATAATTACGCACGAGCGATAAGGATGGGTAGCTTGAGGTCATTGGACGAAATTCTATGTGGTCGGCGACGGGACTTTGCAGTCCCATAGCAGATGGAGCCAACTACGGGAGAGCACATAAAGAAGTAAGCGCATGTGAACTGTGTGAATGTCAACTCGCAGCGTTGTGACTAATAGCAAATGAAGGCAGCGGCCTGAGAACGAATGGAGAAGCAAGCACATGAGGATTAGGACAAACTGGAGCTGTTGAAAGAGACTGAAAGGGTGAGTGACTACTTATTGGGTTCCCCCATTTACGTTTACTAGCAGTCCAGTAGCAGATGGAAGTAAGCTCATGTGGAAAAACTGCAACGCTTGAAAAGACTCAATGGGTAAGAGACTTCTTATTGGATTCCCAGCATTTTAATAGCAGTAAAAGAAGCCGCGGAAACGGAACACCGCGCTGCCATGGAGGCAGCGACGAGAGAACGTATGGAGAAGCAAGCACATGTGGACCAGGGCAAACTAGAGCGCTTGAAGGAAACAGAAAGGGTAAGTAACGGGACTATTCCCACCTCTCGTTCCCACCGCTGCAACTCCTGTGTAGCCACCCATAAAAACCCAACCAATGAAGAGACTGAGAGGGTAAGCGGAGTCTTTATTTTCTAACAGTCTAATAACAGATGGAGACAGTGGCGAGAGAGTGCATAGAAGCAAGCTCATGTGAAAAACTGGAGCGCTTGAAGGAAACTAATAGGAAGTGGAGTCTTCTTTGAGAATTCAGAGGTTTGAAGCCGGAGAGGCTTGCTGAAGAGCAAGCCATAGCCTGAGACGAAGTTTTGTACGTCAACTCGCAGCGTCGTGACTGGTAGCAAATAGAGGCAGCAGCCTGAGAACAAATGTATTAGCAAGCACATGAGGATCAGGGCAAGCTGAAGCGGTTGAAAGAGACTGAGAGGGTGAGCGATCATCACCTGTCACGTTGCAAAATCATCATCAGTTAGTTTCCACAACACAATGCAGCAAGCAACACCCTCTATTTTACCAAAGACAAGAGTAGATCCACTAGTGGACATTATGAGTATGCCCACAAGTCTTATTGGTTTAATAAACCCCTGCTCTTCATAAATTTTCAAGTGCCTGTAATATGCCCATAATGCAACCTTTATCTTTAGGTTAGATCCACGCATGACCAAAACAAATGGAGGATTTGACCTTTACAAAGCTGCAAGTTGTCCAAACTTGATGATCAGTTATTTGACCCTTAGTAGCCTGCTTATGACATCTACAGGAAGAGTTATTAAATGACTTGCACTACTAATTAAAAAATCTTCCATAAATCGTCTAGTTAGAGTATTACTTAACAGTGTGGTTAATTTTGTCCTCAGAAAAAGCAAGAGCTAGCCCGCAAGGTGGCAGAGACAGAAGAACGGAGGCGTGCAGAAGAGCAAGCGAGACAACAACGTTTGGCCGACGAACAGAAACGCGCCGACGCGTTACGACGCAAGCAAATCGAGGAGGCCGAGGCGTGAGTACACTTCTTAACGTTTCTATTATGGCTCAGATACACTATGCACCACACCGAAGTATGGGCGATGCACGGCGAAAGTAACTGAAGTGCGTGTTTACACGTCTCGATCAATTTCCTGCATAGTTGAACTGCCCCATTAACGTTTCTCCAAAAATTCCTCATTCAAAATTAAGTACTATACTGCCTATGCTGACTATTCAAAAGTAAGTAGTAAGTACTTATTAAAAAATAAGATCCGACCGACTATTCAAAATAAGTCCTCCCCATTCAGACTATCCAATATTATGTCAGGTCCTTCCAATGCCGACTATTCAAAATCAAATCTCCCCCATCCTGACTATTCAAAAGTCGTTACGTTACTTTCCTAATAGGGTAAACCGACAGTCATTGGACGCTGCCAGTCATTGGATAAAACAACCCTTGAATTTTCTTAAAATGAATATTCCTTCAAAAAAACGCCCTTTTATATCCATCAGTCGGAATCTCTCAGTTGTTGAAATAGAAATGCTATTTTTAATTCAGTAAATAACTGTCCAATAACTTTCTTAAGTCCATGATTTCCCAAATTGTCGATATTTGACCTATTTTGTTTGCAGATAGCTTCTAAATGAAAAGATATTTTAGCAAACAAAAAATTGTACGAGTAAGTTAAGAGCGTTTACGCCGTTTGGCGCAAAAACAGTACTTTTTCAACTCGTTACAATCATTAACCAGTAATATTACAAATATGTTATAGGCATAAATAGTTAGGCAATTTCGTCGTCTAAATAGTTAATTGAGAAAATATTGCGATTAGTTTAGTATTTAAGAATTCTATCAAGATAAGTCCACACAGGTTTTGTAAATTTCCACTTTAGCGTCAGTTTACAAGCTGAAATTTGTATAAAAATACTGTGAAAACGATTTAACAAACATTTATACCCTATAGCATAGATCCTTGGGCAAATAGTTATCTGAGAAAATTTTTAGATTTAAGCATTTTACAATAAGAAATCACAAATTAAAAGGACGTGAAATATCCAAAAATCAAAGTGATTTTTTCACCAATATTCTTCCTTTATTCAACACAAAAATAGCTTAATATTATAGAAGAATATCTTATCTAAAATATTTACTTTGAAATTTAAAATAATTCATTGGAATTTTTTTTCTATGAGTATTTGAAAAATACTATAAATCGCCGCGCACGAATCGTTCAAATTCAGTCCGCCTCGAGGCGTTCCAGAGTGAGGTCACGTCGCTCGGTGCTCTGCTGACATGTGTCACGCGTACGTTGATCTTTGACAGGTAGCTGGACTTTTATAGTGTATCCGCAAAATCTTGGTGGTAGATTTTGCGATCACGTGGTAATTAAAATATTTTATTGTTATTTTTCATTACAGTCTATTTTTACTACAAATTCTATTTCAGACGTAATGAAAAATAAAATTAAGTTATTTTTAGCGATGAAACGAAAACGAATGACGAAAATTTGGAACAGCAAGTTATGTATGTATACCTACTAATATTATAAAGAGGAATAATACTAATAATTTATTTGCCATAAATAGGTGGTTACAGAATAGTTAATAGGAATGCTCTGCCAGCAGGGTCCCACCTAGTTGTAGGGGGAACATACACAACATATTACAGTCGGAAAATCTTTGCGGTAGGTACCTCGGATTGTAGTTAGTTGGACAGTGGTCATTTGACCGCCACTTGAATCGTCTCACCCCTAAGCTTTTGGCTACCGCCGGCGCACTAAGCCGGTTGATGCCTAATCTCGGAGGCCCGGCTGCACTGAGTCGCTGACTATACTTTTGCGTCGCGCGTTATATGGTCCTATATGGGGCTCGAGTATGGCACAGTGCTGTGTAGTCGTGGAGCATCCTACTGTTCAAAAAAGCGCAACGCATGATATCACTGAGGCACAGGCTGAGGTAATTCGTGGATACCGCATAGTATCCGCAGTCCGTCTATTCCCGGTTGTGGACACTGACTATGTCCCTACTGAGGATAAATGGGAAAAAAAATATTGTCATTAGTGGCGACGTATAACAATCCTACTAATATTATAAATGCGAAAGTTTGGATGTCTGGATGTTTGTTACTCTTTCACTCAAAAACTACTGAACGGATTTTGTTGAAACTTTACAGTATTATTGTTTATAAACCAGATTAACATAATTATAGGCTATAATTTATGACGATATGTGACAAATAAATTTCAATAAATAAATAAGACGTGTCTAAAAAGCGCAATCTATCGTCATTGGTTAATAAAATCTACAGCGCTGGACAAACTACTGTTTTTGACGTTCGTAAATATTCAACATGATATCAAACAACAGATTTTACGAACTAAGGAGTAAAACGAGGTCCACGCGTACGAGGTCGCGGGCGGCCGCTAGTTCAAAATAAAATTAATAATATTTGTATTCATCTGGTCTTACTTGACTTTTACTTTACGTATGTCATGCACGATGACATTTGCGTCAATATTTGTGTACGTCCCCACTAGGCATAATAGGGATGTTTCCTGGGTCAAAAAGCAAGAGTTTTAATTAGTCCGTCAGTTAACTTATCAAAAAATACTCTACAGTTGTAGAACTGTAACTGTGTTGTAGAACTGATACACGTATTTTTCACTTTTTCAAACTAATGAATATTTAAAGAGATAAAGCGCGCCAAAGTTCATAAGAAGAGGCCCGTGACGTCAATGCGTGCATAAAAGTGCCGCACGTTGTGACGTCGTGCGGAACTTCAACGCACCATAACTATGTAATTATTTGTTAGATTGATAAATAAAAATATATGTGTCCAATATTTTTTGATATTAAACATTACGGACTAAAAAATTTTTTTTAGGAAACTTGCCTATTGGGATGTATTTTTCTAATTTGTCATAAGTTGTGAGAAATCCTGTAGCTACAACTGGGAAAGTATGTGTCGCCACTGGTGACAATCGATATTATTTATGCCATTTATCCTCAGTGGCGACAACCGAGAATAGACGCCAGTTGCGAGGTGACCATAGGTCCCAAGGGGAAATGTAGGTACGTGTACGTGCACCACGAGAGGTGAAAACCAAAAGGTAGAGGCTTGAGGATCTAGGCCCTAGAGTGCTGAAGGGTACGCCTGGCCGTCAGCCAAATTTTACGTCGCACCATAGAGGCAGTTCTGCCTGTATTAGAGGAGTGGGTGCGACGGCATGATCGCCTCACACATAGGGCGACCCAGGTTCTACCGCTTGCGGGTGCTTCGGGCCATTNTTTTCCGGATAAAAAAAGATTTGTTTTGAATAGAACCGATTTGAAAAAATCTCTCACCATTAAAATTCAATTTTTTTCTGCTGAACATAGGCTGTATAAAATATTCTCAAAATAGTAAAAAACCTTTGATAATTTACTATTTGATAAAGAATTTATGTATTTATTATTTATTAGGACTAATGTATACCATTATTTATAATTATGGAGTCAGTGTTGGAAGATTTGAAGATTTTATAGTTTCCTTGAGCTGTCACTTGACAGCCTGGCACACTTTTACGATGGTGGATCAAAGTATTTTGGTTTGACTATAGAGCGTGAGAACACGCACACAGTCACAATTATTTTAGTGTGAATAAAAATAGCATCGAAATTACCTAAACTTGACATGCCACGCTAGACGTAAACGCTCTTAATGTCTTTAACTAGGGCGACAACTTTTCCAAAACACGATATTGCATAGTTTGTTC